TTTCGCACCCTCCGCCCATTCACCACCAGCCAGATCTTCACGAAGGGGTCTGCAGATACACGTGACACAAGTCAATGAGAGAAAAAAGGTTAATGTCAATGATAGAACAGAGTCAAATTATCCATAGTAGGAAATATAAAATTGTATATGCCATGAATACGACAATGAAAGTTGTTTGATTTTGAAAACTCAATACAGCAAACTGTAAAAAAAAATTTGGAAAAACAAGATTTTTTATCATAATTTTGGTTTTTAGACTGTTTCTGGAAATATTTGATTGAAAATGCGCCTTTTCTGGTTGCGCTTTCCAGTCAAATGAGATGACCGTAAGGTCATTGAGATCTAAGGCGAGGGAGGTTGTCTGTTGCAATTTGAATGAGAGAGCTTGACTGACCTGAAGAGCCGTTGAAGTCCATGGCCTTGAGATGAGCTGCCTTGTGAACTGTGATAGACATGCGTTTAGCAGCTGAAATGTACATCAGAGAGAGTGACACCTTCCCTCTGAAGTCGCAATCCTAAAACTCAATATTGACATCAGGCCGTTTTATGCGACCTCAAATAGTGAAGTAAGGGCGAGCCAAATATTATGTTTGTATCGAATCTTCTGCACATGCTCTGAAACATCATTCTGCAGACTTTTCTAAGATAATTCATTCTTGGATTAAGTTGGAACAGAGCAGACGTAAGAAGGAGCTATATAGCTGTTCAAACTACAACGAAAAATTGATTTGTAGATTGCCATTTTGTTTCGAGCTGAATTTTTATGTTTAAAAAAACAACTTCACCAGATTTGGAAAAAATACATGTCACGTTTTTCTAATATGGAAGGTTATGAGAAATTGAAGGTTCGAGAACGTACGTGGTGTTTTCGTGGGTACAAATACTCGTCGAAAGCGTAAACGGAACTGGAGCAGTACATTTCCAAGTCCTTCACAAGGTAGTAGCCCAGAATTCTCGCCTTCTTACCCTTCTCGTCACACACTGTCACATTAATCAGAAGCATCTTCTGCGAATAGTCTCTCAGCCGCATTGGAAGCTCGAAGGACTCGTTGTAAATAGGATTGGCCGTCTTGCTCCGAACTTCTGGCGAGTTCTTTGGTCTGAATGTTCGGACATCTCGCGCCGGTACGAGAGACACTTCAACATGTGGGTTGGAAGAAGGTTCCTTTTCTGAACTAGCCGAAAGCTCAGAGAGACTTTCGACAAATATTTTTAAGCCGTGAGAGTTTTTACAAAACTCGAGCGTGAACTGGATTTTGCCAGAGCCTTCCTCGTTCGCAGTGTCTGTCGAACAAAAAGTCGTGTTTGGGATGCTGGTCGTGTTTCTGTATAATTCCGGTGTCAGTCTCCCGATTGATCCTGCAGTGGAAGTGCTCAATACCGATCGGCTTAGATGAACGCACAGATCTTTTTTGCCGACTGGTGATCCGAACTTGCCGAATGCGTTGTGGGCAGGCATCGTCATCTTCCGACCCTGCAGGGCAAATATAGCCCTGAAATGCAGTAATATTAACAAAAATTCTTTATTGTAACAGACTAAATAGGCACTTCTTGTTTTCTTAAGCAAAGCAAAGCAAAAATCTTCAGCAAAACTATAAAAAAAGTCAAACTTCAGACCATTTCATCCTCAAGAGAAATGATCAATATAAATAACGCTGTTCAGCTCATCAAGGAGAACCGCTGTTCGCCCCTGAATAAAAACATCATTTTTATCTGTAATTTTTATGCTCCGCGATTTATAATCTCACACATGGACAACCAGCACAAATCACGATGGTCTTCGAACAACCGACCTTTCGACTAAGAGGGGGAGACCTTAGCCACTTCCCTATCTGTTTGAATAAAAATATGTTTTTTTAGACTTGTTTGACTTTCAAAATCATTTATGTTTTAGCTTTTGCACCGAAAATTTTCTAGCAACATTCAAGGGGTATTCTCTGCTTCTTGACAGATAACCTTTTGTTTTTATGTGTTCTGATGTTTTTGTAAAAGAAAGTACTTGCTTTTGATTCGAGCTTTTTTAAAGTAAATTTTTCTGCTCTAATAGTAAAACAGTTAGGCCAGTTTTTAACCGGGTCTTCTCCATAGACCGAAAACGCTAAGCAAAACATTACATAAGAAAACTCTTTGAAAAACCCTTGTCATCAAAAAATCATACGTTTTTACTAGAAAGGTATTTTTTGATGGCGAATTCAAAAATGTTTTTTTTTCCGAGAAAAATATCAGATTGCATGAAAATTTAAATTTTTGTGTGCATAACGTAGTCCTCGATGCAATAAAAGTGGATTACTTTTCCGTTTCTCCAAATAACTTTTGTCAAAAAAACCCTAGAAGCTTTTTTTGTATTTCACACTTTTGCAAGGCTTGGCCAATGCATGATTAATTTTCATGGCGAACTAAAAAATTAGAATTTTTTTTAAAGAAAAGGTCAAAATTTGGAAATTCTTTCATTCATTAAGTTTTTTGTGTAATACATCTATTTAGAGGTCATTTCCAATGCATTGTACTTGCAAGACCGTTAAACAATTTTTGACTCTTGTTTTGAGCAACCAAGGTCTTTGTCACTTGGGTTTCCCGCACCGGAGGTTCATGGATCATAATCAATTGTATTGGATTTTCATTGTCAGTTTTTTCCTCCGCACCGGAGTTTCATGGATAAAACTCGATTATATTGGATATTAGTCTTTTTATTATCACCATTTTTTTGTTTTATTAAAAAACGCTACAGCTAAATTTTGTTGAATTTGTTTATGTAAACTGAATGACGATAGTCATTCAGTTTCCATAAAAATTTATTTACTACTCGTTGACTTTTTGTGCAATTTTTTGTGGTGGAATTGCTGTGAGATATGTAGTAAGGCTGACAGAATGATCTTCAGTGCATAAGGTCAATGTTTTGAGACGTCTGTGACGTCACATAGCTTATCTGAAATAGGACAAATGATGAGAGACCATTGTGACAAATCACCATTTCGTATCCAGTTGTTTTACCTCAATATAGAGGAGCTTCAGCATGGTCGCAGAAAGTTAACTTCAAAAAAACCGAACGACACGCAGAGGATTCTGGAACGAAAGAACGATAAGTACGATGAAAACAAGAAAAACATCGCTAATAAATAAAGAAAACGAAAGAACATCTATAGAGGACACAACAACGCAATCCCCCGAGCGGAGTAAGCGGGAACGCGCAATGCAGGGCAAATATCCATGCAAGGATCTGCGAAAACGGAACACCGGAGAATGACAACAGACCCCAGTGCAACCTCCCATGGATCAACGAAAGGGCCCAGTCAACCCAATCACCTACCAGAATAAATGACGGTGAGGGCCTCCCTAGGCCCGGAAATGTGCTAAAACGAAGGTTGTCACAAAAAAGGGGTTTTTCCTGGCCGGTCTAGGTGATCCAGCTTACCTAGCCCGGCTACTATTGATGTTGAGGAAAACCCAGGTCCAGCAGAGTGCGGGGTCTGCAAAACTCTTATAGGAGGAGGATGCGGCATCAGATGCACCTGTTGCCCGATGTCGATACACCAGGCGTGCAGCGGCCTCTCCAGGCGGGAAATCACAGAGGTGAGCAGACGCGAGAGATTTGCTTTCGAGTGTAGCAGCTGCAACCATCTGATCGCGGAAGCCACCGCCCAGGACGAGACGCCTTGCCCTCCTGGTGTCGAGTTGGAAGCAAACACGCCTGTGATTCCCGAAAAACGAAGGAAGACACGAGGAAAACGACGAGCGACTGATGACCTGAAAACGGCAAGGAGAGAGCGAAGAAAAAAGAAGCGCAAAAAGAAGAAAAAGGACAGGGAAGAGCCGAAGATGAAGGGATGGCGGATTGTTACCTGGAACCTGCAAAGCATCTCCGCAAGAGACCAGAACCGCAACCGCCTGAGAAGGGCAGTGGAACATGAGAGACGGAAGAAGTGGAACGTGGTAATGTTCTCCGAAATAAGATCCGAACAAGAGGGTGTCATTTGGTTTGGCGAGCAGAGCGACCTAGCTGCGGTCATCCACTCACAGAATTGCGGCATCTTACAACCAGGAGACGCACTAGAAGATTGGATCAACTGTGGGCAACAGAAGAACTTCTCAGAACACGTCACCGCAATAGTAGAGAAGCTTCGACTGATCTCCACCTACCAAATTCTACGAACCAACGGCCCGGAAGGCATTGACAGATTCCGGAAGGACTTGGAAAACCAGCTTGCGAGGATCCCAAAAGATACGACGTCGATCTTGGGAGGAGATTGAAACGCCCAGCTCGGCAGAGAGAGCCAAAGACGGGGAGTGTGCGGAAAGTATGACATGAAGGAGACGATCTCACGGACTGGTACGAGGAACACCACCTCCAACACGTCAACTCCTTCTACCCATTCCAAGCACGTTGTACGTGGTACAAACAAATGCACAGAAGGTGGTACGAACTTGACGGCTTCATCAAGAGACCAGGAGACAGACACAGACGCATAAGGAGAATAGGGAACGAGGACGACCTCACCCTGTCAGACCACAAACCGGTGTGTTGAACTTTCTTCACGAAGAAAAAAAAAGCCAGACAAAGAATCGACCAAAAGACGCCTTGTGTCAACTGGGAGAAGTTAAAGAACACGGAAGTGGCTGAACGGTTCCGCAGAAAGACCGCGACCAGCAAGTAACATGGGGCCAGATAGCGCATAACCTCTTCGAAGCAGTGAAGGAGTTCTGCGGTGTTCAGAAACGGCATGTGGCAAACCCCTGGACAGTGGGTCAAGAGGAGGAACTTAAAGAACTCCATGAGAGGATCTCGGCAGAGGTGATTCAGAGGACAACGGGGCCACATACACCGAGGCCTTCGAAGAAACTCGGGCCAGATTGAAGACAGCCAGAAAGCAAATGAAGAGACTACGCGAGCTGGAGAGAAACTGGCGGGAAAACATTATCAACACGTGCGAAGAAGCAGCTAACAGAGAAGATATGGGCACTATTTACAGCACGCTTCGCACTTTAGGGACCAGAGACAGCAAACCGATTACAGGAACGACCATCACCACAGACGATTTCAGTGACCATTTAAGCAACGTGTCGAAGGACAGATATGAAATCGACCCGGGACTGCTGATGGGAGCTGTTCGAGAGATGACGCACATGCGGGGAGACGCAACGTACGAAGAAGCCAATCGGATTCTGAACACGACAACCACAAGATACGAGGTTTTGGAAGCAATGGAGGAGGAGATAAACTCTATGTGGCAAAGATGGCGTACGGATGAGATACATCCAGAAGGCGGATGTCACGACGAAAGAAATGATCATCGACACGCCCGTCCGGATGTTCAGCGAAAGAGCAGACAGATGGGAATCTTCGCTGAAGATCGGACAAATCATCCCACTGTTCAAGAAAGGCGACAAGAACAACGCCAACAACTACAGAGGTGTTTGCCTCCTCCCCATGACTAATCGGATCCAAGCAAGAGTCATGGTCAATCGCCTCAGGACTGGAGCGATAAAATAGGAGTTCTAGACGAGAACCAGAACGGCTTCCATCCGGGGAGATTGATGGCGGACGCGAGTCAAATCTTTGTTCGGATTCAAGAAGAGATGGACGACATCAGACGACGCAGATAGAAGGCCTATTTGCGCATCGAGTCTGATAGAGACCCAGAAGCTAGACTCTTGGACCTCAGAAAGACCTATTCGGCCCTTTGGGAGATCCTGAAACGCTTCGGCATGAATGGACCTTTCTTGGAAACCGTCATGGATCTCCATGAGTCCACAGCGTACTGCGTCAAAGGCAGAGGAGGCAACAGCGCCGAGTGGAACCCGGAGAATTGCCTCAGAGAGATATGCCCATCATCCCCTGCTTTGTTCAACGTTTTCCATCAAGTCGTCATGAGACTGACGAGTGAGTGGAGGGTAGAGAAAGCAGAAGAAGAAGGGAAGTCAGTTGGCATTCCTTGGTCGTGGATCCCTGGGAGCAGATTTCCCTGGCAGAACACAGCAAAGTGCTTCAACAGCGAGACCAAGACGGTCCGCTTTTCTCTGTCCCTGTTTGCCGACGACACCACCTCATTGGGGAGAGAAGAGAGATCGCCAAACGTACTGACACCATGAAGGTGACCATGGCTAGCTTGGAAGAACGGAACAAGGAGAGCAAAGAAGAGAAGCTGCTGTTCGGGAGCTAAACATCCGCAGGAGACATCCGGATGCTGGGAGTGTGATTAGACCGGAGGCCGACATTAGCAACCGGAAGAAACGTGCTGGCTTGCTCTAGGCGAAAGTCAGAGGTCGCCTGAAGAAGAGCAGAGTACCCAAGCGGCTACAGGCTCTCGTGGTGCAGAGTTGCGTCAGAAATGAACTCATCTCCGACGCTGCCATCCGAACCTGGCAAACATCAGAAACGAAATCGTTCTAGAGCTGGATCGACCTTTGCTACCGACACATATGGAGTGACAAGACCAAACCTCCACTGACCGCAATGAAAGAGAAGAA